GTTATCATCACCACAACGATCACCACAATAATTACAATTTGAATCACCACAATCCCTACAATTGCAACTAATGGAACAAATAAAATGAAAAAGACTAGAACAAGATAAACATTTAGAAAGAATGATGAAGCACTTGAAATCACCACGACAACCAGTCAGAACAGCAGAGGAAAAATATCAAGATCATGTAATGGAACGCAACGCTTTCTCTGCAGATTCTACTGGAGCAACTGAAAGTGGTTTATGAAGTGGTTTTAGTGCGTGCTTGTCCCAATAACGTTCTTGCAGATGTTGAGCGACTAGAAATCCTCCTTGGAGGAAAACGAGCTGGTAATAATTCTCCAGAAATCATTAATAAAACAGCTGATAGTTGTCAGCAATTATTTACAGGTGAAATTATACATATTAATGTATATCGGTCCCTCATTAATGAAATCGCTGATGACTACCATAATGACCAAGTCACTTAACTGAGCATGTAATTAAATACAGTTATTATAATAAAATGATCGTACGTAGTACTCAACGTGGTCCAGCCATGGTCAGGGTAATAAATTCTCAATTACCAGTGTACAAAACAATCTACGGAGATGAATAGGTGAAGTTGTTCAGGGTCTGTTTAGAAGGATGGCCACTATAGCAATGCCGATTGCAAAGCAACTGGGAATGAAAGCTATTGATGTTGTTCGTGAAAAAGGTATTGGTGATGTTGCTAGTAAAGCTTCTCAGCAACCAATGATAGACTAGCACGATTAATACATAGCCCAAAAACTGCGCACATCCGAAAAAGATTTGACAACGGAAGTACTTCAATAAGCATCAGCAATTTTATGCTTTGCAAAAATACATATTTAAAAAATTTACTTGAAAGAAATTGTGCTTAGTTTGAAATTACTTCCAAGAGATGTTTTAGATTGACTTCGTTAAGTCTTGAAAATCAAGAAAATAATAGCCACATATTTGAAGCTAAATAGTTGCTTTTGATATACATACGTGACCTCAAAGTTGATCGGGAATAGGGACAATATCCAAAATTGGATAGTAAATCACAAGATAGCCGAGTCGATTATTTGGCAACTATGACGTAATATGACTGATCGTATTTTATCAACGTATGTTTCTTAATCCTATGAGAGATGGTCCGAATGGATTCAGAGGATCATAACCAGTCTATTTTTTAAAACAATTAGCTCGGGTCACTAGGTATACTTCGGCTGTAGTCCCTATTAATACATATTATGCATTTAGATTTTTCCATAAATATGTAAACAATTCGCGTAGGAAAAACAGGAAGTTGTTTATTCACACTATCTGTAGAGACGATGCGTATAACGACACCGATGTGCTGATTCCCTTTTTAAAGTAGAGATTAGCTGTCTACTTATTTTACGAGCTAAGTGGCGATCTGTTTCAGTTTCTGACTATTACGTATCTTTATTTTGGTAAGTTCACTGTGGCAAATCAAAGAGAGGAAAGTTAGAATTATTGTTTTCTTTTCTTTCTTTTCTTATAATCTGATTGACATTTTATTCAGTTTAATGGCTGAAGAAGGATTCCCTCAGAGACAGCCTCGTCTTCAGCTTGTACAGTGCATTGTCTTCTCAGTTTTGCAAAAAACACTATTTACTGCATGTGAATTGTTGTTTGTGGATTTTTATGGCACACCACCACTGTATGTCCATATAGCGCATATTTACTGCATGTAATAATATAATAATAATAATAATAATAATAATAATAATAATAATAATAATAATAACAAATAATGTAATAATAATCGTTATTTTACATGACTTTTTCATTCTCAACAAGTAATATTTGCTGTTATCAGCTATTTTTACAACAAACAATGAGTTGAGCTGAATCAGGAAACCTTGCTTAACTCAAAACAATAAATTGGCATTCAGACTACAACATACAATGCCTACCCTATTATTTATGTTGTTTTCATCAACCCAATGATACATAAATATAGGGGTAGATGCCTTACATTGTTGGACTAGGGTTCAAACTTGCAGTCCAGTAGAGCTATTCAGCATGTAATTTTACAAATATTGGATTCTTTGAGTTTTATACCTTTTCAGTATTAAAATTATGAAAGTGAGCAACTCAAAGCAAAGATACCATAGCCCAATACAAGTTGACCAAGGTTGAAGATGCATCCAGCCACATTTCAGCTCTGACCCATGCACATTGATAAGGACAGCTTCGACCAAATGTCATTTATAGGACAAACTAATTGATTATTGGCTAAAAGGAGCCTTCCATCTTATTATTTAGTTGTTGTTGTTGTTGGGCTTAACGCCATTTTTCAGCACAAGATAGGCTATTCATGGCGGCCAATATTAATGGTGGAGGAAGAAACCGGGAAATCACCGGAAAGAACCACCGACCCACGAGAAGCTACTGGCAAGCTTTCTCACATATCTACATTAGCCGAATCCTAGACTCGAACACACGCAGACAGAGGTGAGATGGCAGTGATCCGTAACGGACAGCGCTTTAGACCACTCGGCCACTCGGGGCCCTTATTATTTAGTAAACACTCTGAAACTGACAGCATTCAATGATTCAGTGAAAGTTTCTTTATCTTGATTGAAAGGTTTGGTTTGTTTTGTTACCACATGGGCGTAGCTTCTTAAAGGATCATCTGAGTGTAGAATAACATTACAGCACAGATAAATACTAGACCCAAAGAAAAGTTGTCTCGTCACTATGTCTCACTATCTTTTGGTCCAAATTGACTTTGTGTGTGGATTTGTAATTTGGATTTTTAATGTAGCTTTAACAAATTTTCAGTCATATCGCTATGATATCTGCAGTATGCCAGTTTATAATGATATATCACACTGGGTCTTCATGCTGTAGACATGCAGCATCATGTCCCACCAAGTCACATTATCTTTATACCAGGCTGACCGCCTCTAAATGCTGAGCACCAAGTGAGGCAGCTGCTAATACCATTTTTGAAAGTTTTAAAATTACTTTGTTAGGGTTTGAACCTGCAACCAACCACATTAAAGGTGGACACTCTCACCACTTAGGCACTTGAAGCAGTCCCAAATTGACTTTTAAAAAAAATGGTTTTACATGCCTTCAACAGTTGATCCATTTTGTACTTTATCATAAAGGATTGAATCGGGTTGAACCTTATTTCTTAAAATTATGCCATTTTTACAAGGTAATCTTTAATATTTTACTATTTTTACATTGTCAGACTTTTAGGAAATTTTTAAATACTTAATTATTAATTAATTATTTTCTTTGCTGCTATTCAAAGCAGTGAGAACCAGTTCATGAACAGCTTTTATGGCTAGTAAATATTGCTGCCAAGACTGGATACATAAAATTGTACAGCAGCCATTGTCTTGAGAGCACCCAAAGTGACTACCATTCATTTTGTGGATTCGGCACCCAATTCCCATGACTTTTTTGCATGGCATAGTCTTGCATGTGTTAAGATGTTTTTTAAAACAACATGCTGTTAATCAAGCTACATTGAAACCCCTCTAAACTGAAAATCCTTTGGACCTGATTTAATTTTCAGTTTTTTTTTACCATGCAGATTTCTTGGAAACACTTAATTGCGTGTATTTGGATGCAAACTTTTGATTTAGGAAGCATAAAAAACTGACACAGGAGTCCTCCATGCGCACATTTTTGTCGCAAGAAGGAAACTTTTGTAGCAAAATAAATATGTTCTAATCACTATAAAAACTGAAGCAATGCTTTTATTTTAGTTTTAGTTTGTTGCTGACTTTTTTGATCAAAGGTCGCCGGCTTGCTTTGATGAAGGTTCATGTGTTATTGAAGGCGATGCTATAGGCTTCCTTTGAAGGACAAAACAAACACCCATTTGTAGCAACATCAAATGAATTGTAGAACATTGACACAATTTTTTTAAAATTTCCTTAGTATATATCAGAGCTTCAGAGGTAATCAGTTTTCATTGATGTTTCATCAAAACTTTTTTTTCCTTTTTTTTTTTTAAATTGCTGTCATGTGGTCAACTGTAGTCATTTCACATTTCAGCCCTCAGAAGCGGTCGATTGTAGTTAGTCAGTTGCATGGCTAATTTGATTATATTACAGCATACAAGTATCAAGGCCAGATATCAGCATAAGTGGATTATGACATAACAATTAACTGTTACCGTGGTTTGTCAATATGAAATAAGGATTTGTTTATGTAACAATTGATTCCAGTGCATTTTTATATCCTGGTTTGCGGCTTCCTGTCATGGTGCCTTTGAATTTCTCCACTCCAAACTCAAGACTGTACTGTTTTTTTTAGCCAAAAATATGGCCAGAAGATATTTTTTTGTTGCCAATATGTAAAACATAAATGCAATTTTTTTAACTTTGGCAAAGCTCAGAGCAATCACTGTTATTGATTTCAGTTCCGGTTGTTGCCGTATAAATTTTGCCTGCGAACTTGTAGTTAAACAGAAAAATGATGATTTCAATGAGATTCAGAACTGTGCTAAAGTTGCTATAAATGATAGTTCAGATGCGACCATAGCCAAGTGTAAGAAAATACATGATTTTTGGCTTATTTCGGACTGCAACTTTTGCTGGTGGGACTCCAAATTTTACCAAATTAGGAATCCTGGACTCCTAAGTTTAAAATCCTAGCGAGACCTTTGCCATGGGTATTATAGATTTGAAAATAATGTCTCATAGCATACAAGTAGATGTACAAGTTCATTATCACTTATACCAGCCTTACTTTTTATACCAAAAAGCATAAACATTTGAAAGTTAAATGAGAGAAGACTGCTTTGTAAACTTTCAGCAATGAAGTATCACATCTTTGGCTACTGGGCTGGTTATTATTTAACCCAATTATTTAAAGTTTAGAAGAGTCATATTGATAACTTACACAAATGAATAGTTTCAATTACAATTAGATAATAAGTAGATAATATTTCTTAAATGAATTGCCTTAAAACATTCAGTTATAAACAATTTACTTAAAAAGCTGTCTCATTTTAAAGAGCCGCTCGGGTGGCCTAGTGGTTAGAGCGCCTGCCTCGGATGCGGGAGGTCGTGGGTTAGATCCCCTGTCAAGTCATACCAAAGACAAGACTTACAAAAATGGTACTAACAGCTGCCTTTCATGACACTCAGCATTATGAAGTTAGTGTTAGGACTTGTTGGCCTGGTGTCAGGATAATATGATTTGGTGGGACATCGTGCTACATGTCTGCGTCATGATGCCCCAGTGCTAGACATCACTATAAACTGCCACACTGCAGAAATCATAGCAATATGACTGAAAAATTGTTAAAGCTATATTAAAAATTATAAACACCACCACCCTTTTTAAAGTTTAAAGACTGGATTAGCTTTTGATGTAAATGAGACATTTCCACATTATTGACTTACCAGTTCGAGAACTACAGTATGCTAACTGTAAATAATCTTTTGTTAAGTGCATTTTTCTTAACACATGACCACAGACTATTTGTGAGCCATAAATATAAGCTTTTTTATGGCAGCTAATATGCATTTCCAAGTTGATGTGAGTTTTGATTTTATTGGGGAGGGGTGTAAAATTGAAATTTTATTCTCACAATTGCTTCCTTCAGTTACAGAGTTGAGGGATATCAGTTTTACAGGAAACAAAATGATATTGAAAATATATAGCTTTAGAACTCACCCACACCCCAATACTTTGATCTTGGAGGGAATTCAGTAACAGCCAGTTTGGATTGGGTGGGTTTCACTGTAAAGTTGAAAAAGGCTTTTACTTTTTATTACCACTGTATATGTATAATAATAAATTGCTACTTGGCACCTAGTTTTTAATGATTAAATAAAAATCTTGAGGATAAAATTATCCTAAATGTTCTTTAGATTGCAATGAATTACAGCCATGCCTAATGAATGATGCAGCTGCTGCTATTTCAATAGTTCATTATAATGAAATCTTTTTTTAAATATGTTTTGTTTCTGTGCATAAAATATTTTCATATATTGTTTCAGGGAATTTGTAACTTTGAGATATAAATACATATTCATTGAGGCCGGTTTTAACACACACACACCCCTATAACACAAATATTGAAAATTTCATTACCTGGTAGCATTGGACATACTAAATTAAAGCTGTGCAACTAAATGACTCAAACTTGAAGTGGGGGTGGGAGAGGAGCAAACAGCTTTTAATGTCAATGCTTTATATAAAATGGCACATGAAAAATATATTTTGGCACTGATTTACAAATAATTTGAACTTAAGTGCTAATATCTAATAAATGAGTGATTGAATTAGAATTTCTCTTAATGATTTGATCAAACAATTGGGTGGTTTAGAAGTACAACAATATTTTTCAAAAAATGATTATCTGATAGACAGACATTTTGTTTGAGAATTTGGTATCACTGTAAAGGAAATCTGGCAAGAAAGGACAATATTCAAGGTCTCTAAAATTTTACATATTTAACCTTAATCAGAAGGATTCAAAGAAAAATGCATGGACTTATGTTTACCATGTTTTGTTTAGTAAAGCTTTTTGCTTCAGTAAATAATTGTTCTATTAACTTTAACATGTATCTACTGTTATTTTCAGTGAAGATCAGAAACGTAAAGAAGACAGGTTTTTAAGGACTTGACAGCATGACATCCAGGGATATTGTACCAAATAAAATAGAAGATCTAAGGTATTTGAAATATATTTTGAATTTGCATATATACATGTTTGTAAGTTAGGTTCAACTACAAACTGCATAGACCCAGATATGTAATCAGATTATGCACTGGTAGATCAGAGTCTGTGTGGTTTGCAATTGAACCTGGATTAACATGTGTGTGTGTGTGTATATATATATATATATATATATATATATATATATATATATATATATATATATATATATATATATATATATATATATATACAGTAATATCTTTTGAATCAGTGTTTTTCAGATTTCAAGTTTTCATGGATTTTGTCTGTTGCCTTGAACAATGAATTTAAAGACAATGAAAAATTAGCCATACTGATGAGGTTTTAAGGTCCACTAATACAGTACACTGATCTTTTTCACTATTGAGGCGAGATTAAATAAAGGAGTAATATCATTGTTTTTATTTTGTTTGTTTGTTTGTTTGTTTGTTGGGCTTAACGCCATTTTTCAGCACACGATAGGCCATTCATGGTGGCCAGTATTAATGGTGGAGGAAGAAACCGGGAAATCACCGGAAAGAACCACCGACCCACGAGAAGCTACTGGCAAGCTTTCTCACATATCTACATTAGCCGAATCCTAGACTCGAACACACGCAGACAGAGGTGAGATGGCAGTGATCCGTAACGGACAGCGCTTTAGATCACTCGGCCACTCGGGGCCCCCCTTTTATTTTGTTAGCATCTTCCAACTTTCATGGGCACATAATACATAAGATGTTGATGCTGCTGCAAATAGCACTGAGCAAGGGAGCTGGGCTGGTTCACAATATGAATGATGAACAGAATTATCTAAACTGATGGGGATCTAAGTTGAATTCTTCTACCCTTCTGCTACTGTGCTAATGTCGTGATCATCGATAGCACTAATAGTACAACTATTGGAAATTGTTTTAAGGAAGAGATCCTACACATGTACTGTGATTACTGGCCTATAAGTCAAGGCAAAGTACTGTGATTGCTAGCCTATAAGTCAAGGCAAAGTACTATGATTGCTGGCCTTTAAGTCAAGGCAAAGTACTGTGATTGCTGGCCTATAAGTCAAGGTGAAGTACTATGATTGCTGGCTTATAAGTCAAGGCGAAGACCAAGTTAATTTCTCAATATTGTAAATTCTCCACCTTTCATCCATATAGAAGTCAGTGCTGAGTTTAACACATGGCCAGATGAATAACTCAGCTTTTTCTTTTTTACTTTGTGCCACACAATATTACTAATTATATCCTTTTGATAACTCCGTAAATTATCAGGTCATCATCACTAAATGTAGCTAAAAGTACCTAATTTGTTTCACACAATGCATTTGAAACAAATTATGTATTTTTAGCTACATTTAGTGATGATGACCTGAAAATTTACTGAGTTACAGGTTGGATAAAATTTGTGATGTGCTGAATGAAACTATACTAACTTTGGTTTCCTGAATATTATTAGTATCACTCTATGCTAACTTCAAGTTACTGACAATAGGGAAATTGCATCATTGATGCTAAAATATTTTTTCCAGTTTTACTTTGAGAAGATAGAAGGGGGAAACATATATTCCTCTGCATTTTTCTTTGTGCACCTCATGATGAAATAAAATATGCCCTGATATAAGAGTAAGAGAGAGATTTCAGCCCTTCTTCATGCTATTATGTACCTTACAGCTCCTTTTAGCTAAAATTTGTCAAAGAGAGAAAACAATAATAAATTAAATAGTAAATGGAAACTATTAAGATAGGGGCTTTGAGTGGCCGAGTGGTCTAAAGTGGTGTCCATTACGGATCACTGCCATCTCACCTCTGTCTGCATGAGTTCGAGTCTAAGATTCGGCAAATGTGAATATGTGAGAAAGCTTGCCAGTAGCTTCTAGTGGGTCTGTGGTTCTTTCCGCATATTTCCCGGTTTCTTCCTCCAACATTAATACTGGCCACCATGTGTAGCTTATCATGTGCTGAAAAATGGTGTTAAGCCCAAGAACAACAACAATAGCAACAACTAGTAACATACATAACACACTTACAGTATTTAACTCCACATAAACTCCAAGATTCTCTGGGCTAAGGTTCAGGTTAAAGTAATTGTAAGTTTAATCAAACAACAAGAAGTGTTTCTGCACTTTAAGTTTAGTTCAAGACCACATTCCTGGACCAAATACTGAGGTCATTGAGACTTGTTAGTCAGTAGTCTCTTCAGTAGAACCTACAAGTGCCTACATAGAGCACTATTACATGCATGGTGGCTACATAATAGACCATTCATGATATACTTGGTGGCTGCATAATAGACCATTCATGACATACATGGTGGCTACATAATAGACCATTCATGACATACATGGTGGCTACATAATAGACCATTCATGACATACATGGTGGCTACATAATAGACCATTCATGACATACATGGTAGCTACATAATAGACCATTCATGACATACATGGTGGATACATAATAAACCATTCATGACATACATGGTAGCTACATAATAGACCATTCATGACATACATGGTGGATACATAATAAACCATTCATGACATACATGGTGGCTACATAATAGACCATTCATGACATACATGGTAGCTACATAATAGACCATTCATGACATACATGGTGGCTACATAATAGACCATTCATGACATACATGGTGGCTACATAATAGACCATTCATGACATACATGGTGGCTACATAATAGACCATTCATGACATACATGGTGGCTACATAATAGACCATTCATGACATACATGGTAGCTACATAATAGACCATTCATGACATACATGGTGGATACATAATAAACCATTCATGACATACATGGTGGCTACATAATAGACCATTCATGACATACATGGTAGCTACATAATAGACCATTCATGACATACATGGTGGCTACATAATATACCATTCATGACATACATGGTGGCTACATAATAGACCATTCATGACATACATGGTGGCTACATAATAGACCATTCATGACATACATGGTAGCTACATAATAGACCATTCATGACATACATGGTGGCTACATAATAGACCATTCATGACATACATGGTGGCTACATAATAGACCATTCATGACATACATGGTGGCTACATAATAGACCATTCATGACCTACATGGTAGCTACATAATAGACCATTCATGACCTACATGATACTCTAGTTTCAAAAGAGATGTCATAAGTGGCCTTATTGGATGACACTGTATACTATGACAAACACACACAAACACTGATGCATTACCTTGAATATAATTGACACAAACCCAGCCGGCTTAGGACCAGCTTAATAATGAGTTTTTCCTAAATTTAACATATGAATAGGGAGGTTCCTTTACAAGGACCCCACATTCCAAACATCCTGGAAGACCAACTCGGAGAACTTGGATGCTGAGACTG